TGCTACAGTCAATAGGATATATATATATTTTTCCATCGTATATACCTGAAATCCTGTTATTTTGACCGAAATATTTCAAATTGTATCCTAAATATATATTTCAGTTCCTTTGTTATTTTCCTTTGTTTTTTCTGGGAATAATAAAAATCCATAACTACCAATTGTTTTTAACGGATTCAATTTTTACATTGAATTGCTTCTCCGCCGTGATAAATTTCCTTACAGTAAATTGTTATTGTTGAGGATAGATTAACTCCTCCCGAATATTATCTAATATTGAAATAGTTCTTCTACCAGTATTTTCTCTTTTCCCGTACCAGTATTTTCACTTTTCCCGGCATGAACGTGTTAAATAATGTAAGGGCCACTCGTGCATTTTGAGACAACACTTCTCGTTATTTTAGATCCAACGGATATCGATATCGAATGCACTAAATAGGTGTTTATTATTTTATCATGCATGCCGCATTGGGACACACAAATATGTTTGATCTCTGTATGTTAAATAAATGTGTTTTGCTGTCTCATCTCCAGTCTTAAATTAATATCACACAGCTTAACATTTTTGGTGCCAAAAACATAGAGAGCAACATAATGTAAACGTATTATAACTTCCGTTAATTGTGTGCATATATATCTTTGTTCCTTTGTTATTCTGTAAGAAAAATCGCCTCTACATAGTCTAAAAGTGTCCCTTCTCTGAGAAAGATGTCTCAATTTTCTTGTTTGAGGCTTTGACGCGGCAATTAGGAGGTTGTTTTTGAATAGATATCTTTCATCAAAAATTATCCTCATTAGCATTTAACACCAAAGGTAGATTTGCAAAAGACATCTCTTCCAAAGTTTTGCGGCTCTATTTTTAACCGCCAAGCAATTTCCGAGTCCGCTTATGTAAAATAGTTTTCCCCACTTTTCATATGTAGATGGAATTCATTAAGGGACACGCTTTTCTGAAAATTGGCGAAGGGTGAGTGAAATATTTGAAAAAGTATCGCCTAGTTTTCCGTCCCCGAAGACAGAGTGAATAATTCAAATATTTTATTCAATTTACACAACTAGTTTCGCCATTTCTTGTTGACATCTGTTTGGCGTGCATTGTTACTAAACGAGCAACTGATAATTGGCAAATAATTGGAAATTCGGATTACCATAAAATTGAAATTCTTTCAAGGGAAGTTCTGAAATTAATTTTCTGAAATCGTTTTTTTTCGGGGGGGGGAGAGAATAAAAGAATTTTTCAAGGGAGAACAAAAAAAAATTCTGTGCTTTTTTATAACATAGCTAAAATACACGTTTAAGGCTCGAAATTGCGTTAAGATAATAAATTTAACGTATAACGCGTGTTTAAGGAATAGAAACACTTAAAAATGCGCTTTTGAAAAATATGAACTTATTTCAAACTACACATTAGTAAAATTGAACGCAAAATACGCCTTTTTAATTTAAACAATAAACAAAAATTTTTAACTCTTACACTGCATAAAATATCGCGTATCTTTACACCAAAAAAGGTGGCAACTACTCTTCACCAAAGTGGCTTTACCATTAAATGTTTTATTTTTATATTTTATAACCGTCGTTGAACAGCCGACCCAATTTTTGTGTTAACGTCTACTAATGTTCAACTCCGTAGCCTTGTAATTTTTAACCCAATCCAGAAGACAAGGGAACTCTTGGATCAAGTATTGGGAGAAATTTGCCTTCGTGGAGAACTTTTTGATGGAACTAAGCCGCATTTGCGTTACATGGAGTGGAAGACCACGAGAACCTCCCATTTTTAGCCTGACTGCAAGGGGACTCTAACCCATGATCCGTCTACCACTGAGAATATTTCACGTCAGCCGTGTGGTCGGTGCTAGCCGGATGCGGAATTCGTATCGACCAGCCATCGCCGGGATCGAACCCCGGTTCACCTCATTGGAAGGCGAACGCCCTATCCTCTGAACCATCACGGCTGTACCATTAAATGTTGTATTACGCCAAGAACCAAGGATAGTTCCCGGTGTAGTGAAGCAACAGGAATTTTCTTACTTCTTACACTCTACTAAACTCTTTGCTTACGGCACTAAGTATAATGAGCACTCTAGGCCACCTGCTATACCAGCCGTAAGCAAAATGTTACTGTAAAGTAGCCACCATCATGTTTGTCATTCAGTAATGCTTAAATTTATAATTACAGTAAGATAATTACATACATAGGAATCAGTTAAGTTATTTTTACCGCGCAATAGAAAACAAAAATCATAAGAATTTGATGCAATACACCCTTTAACTACACCCTTTTAATTGGGTACTCGCACTTCAAAAAGATCTCGGAGACCCACACATGTGACCTATGCGCAAAATGACGGGATAAAGTCGAGCTAAAATTTTCCACATAATGTTAGAATGTTAATTAACGGGAAATTAATGACATTGCCGTATCGCACCTCGAATTTGTTGAAATATAATTCTTTCTCGTCTACCTCTTTTACTTAGCATAGATTCATTATGTATTTTATTTGAACCGTGATATATTTTTGTTTTGTGTACCTGGCAACTTCGATGCATAATTATGTTACAGTGTTTATGTTCTCTATGGCTTCGTGCCTTTCTTTATGTTAAGTAAGAAATATATAGTGAGAAAATTGAAATCTTTGTGAAAGAAACTAGAATGTCACATAAGAGAATTGATATTTGATGGGCTTGGCTTACTCGAAATGTAATGGAAAGAACAATTGCTAACGTAAACATATGCCACGTTTCAATAACCGATCAAGATCGATATACCTACACTACATCACTTGCAGGTATCTCATTCTGAAACAATCAAAATAATAAAAATTTCGACTCCACATCTCTGCTCAAATTTTTATAAATTTTCTTAGAGAATATAAAGCAAAAGTCCGGTTAAATAATTTGCAGCTACGTGACAAAGTAACTCGAAACTCATTTCCTAATAGTTAAGGCATTTGAAAATACATTTCCCTCGACTACTTTTCAGAGAGAGAAAAAAAAAGAAATTTAAGTGTTACTTTTTCTTATAAATTGGCAGCATATCAGCAGAAAAACTAAGTCTGAAAGAAAATGGCAACTGCAATAATAGCTAAGAATAATATGCAGGAATTTTAGGTGAATTTCTGGCGAAAAAGAACTCTGTATCACATTAAAAATTTAGTTTTAATTTTAAAATAATCGTCAGAAATAAGCGGATATCTGAAAATTACTTAAAAACTGAGCTGAAATATTCGGCAGTTTCTCATTAATATAAGTTTCTTGGGAAAGATTGGAATTTATTTGTATTATAAATAATTCATAAAGGAAGTGTTTTCATCAATAAACATTAATTTAGTACTTTAGAGTACTACCATTAAAAATAAAATCACGTTTCGATGCAGTACTTTAATGCTTCA